AAGGTTTCATTGCAGATCATTCTTTATACTAAAGTTACAATTATACTGTACAAAACAGTGTAGTAGAATCACTCAGAGGTTACATGTAGAATGCCTAAAAGCCAAGCTCAGCACGCACAGATAGGTGCAGTAATAGTTTTAAAGAATTTTTGATAATGGAAGTGGAAGTTCATGTAAGATAGGGATTTTAGAAGGTCTGTAAATGCTTTCTTTACACTAAGCATACAAATACAAACATGTGCAGATGTTTATGATGTCAGAGTTGCATTTAAAAGCAGAACAGGGATTGTTTGTGGAATGGAGTTCCCAGACCTTGAAGTCAGCTGCCAGGTGCAGATGCAGGTGCAGAATTGCAGCTTCAGTGTTCCACATAGGTTGCCCCACGCTTCAAAAAATTACTACCAGCTTTGCTACTTCCTCTTCCCACTCCTGTATACTCCAGAAACATGGAAAAGGGTAGGCACAGGAGGCAGTTATGCCTGAGTAGAGCTCTTCTATAGAATTAAATATTTCAGTGATTCCATGTTGAAGGACATCCTTTCAAACTTGCTCTGCCACTCATATAAACCAAGAACAATTCAGCTGAAATACATGCAATTAAAGCTAAGGCAAGGGAGAGGAATCAAGGCCATTTCACTATCTGTTAAAATTCAGTGGAATATTCTGAAAGTGGAAATTTATATACAATGCTGTTGAAGACTGGCATTCATCTTTCCAATATCAGTATAGTATCTGCCATTTTAATTAAAATAATTAAAATGTATTTTCCTATGGAAATATCTTTCTATAAGTTCATGCAAGTTTGTTTTCAAAGCATGAGCCTTTTTCACAAACAGCATCAATTGTAAACTAATTTTAAAGCCATTACAAAACAAAAATCAAGCCTCTAAGAAGTATATCACGATCAATACCATGCTCATCCTAGAACAGTAGAAAACTCAGCAGTTTGATTGAATTATGCTTTTTGTTTTTAATCTTCAACAGCTTCCACGTGGTTCACTTATTTTTAACACACCCCAGCAGCAGCTGTCACAGTTTTCTCCACAGCAACAATCTCAGCAGCCTACAACCTGTAGACCTCAGCAACAGGGAGAAGAGGTGTGTGCTAATAGCCCTCAGTCTGGGGTGTGTGGATGAAACAGCTTCTCCTATTCTCCCCATCTCCACAAGTAAATGAGCCATTACCCAATAAATCTGAAGCAGAGGGGTAGGAAAGTCTTCCTCCTAAACTTTGTCAAACAGCAGACTGCAGTGGCTCTGTTGCTATGGCTGGAGTTGGGTTATACTTATTTATTTATATCCTGTATAGAAAGGCTGTAACAAAACAAGTGGCTGAGCATTGTCGAACTCTGTCATGAAGGCAGCCAGCCCCACTGTATGAATGGTGTGAAATCAGCTTAGTGCTGTTTTTATAACTAACAGATATATCAGATGAACAGGGAAAAAATGCAGAGTTATTAGAGTAACCAAAACTTGTTACTGACACTGCTGTGAGTCGGCTTACAACCCTCACTGCTCTAGTTCAGCAGAATTTTCCTTGCACCAAAGGAAATATCATTCGTTTTTAAAGCTGTAATCATAAGACATTTGCTGTACTGCTGCCTGTAATTAGTGTTAAAGCTTTAATCACTGACAAAGTCCAAAGTCTTGATAGAGACCGATCCATCCTCAAAATGACAAGTTTTGAGTGGTCAGTTGCACCTTAAACATCCTAAGGTAGAGGGTACCAGGTTAATACTTAAAAATCCTAACCAACATTGATGCAGCAGTTTGAGAAAACCAGCTGCTCTGCTTTTGTGCTCATCTTCCCAGACATGCAAGCCTTCACCAAATACTTTCTACTGGATACTCAAGTTCGTTATAATTTCACCTGTGATATTGTAAACTGTTCATAAATAAGATGCCTCTTTCAAATTCTTTGTGGTATATAGCCTCCTGTGCCATAGGCCTTGTTCTGGATGGTGGGTCAGTTTAATGGTTTTATAGGAAACTTTCCAATTTGTACACAGCATCTATATCTCTGAATGTCAATTAGTAGTTGTACTACTTAAAAAAAAAATCATGGGACCTTGTACTGGGCTTTATTTTCTAGATATTTAACATCAAGGGCATTTACAAAAAGGCTGATGTAGGCAAAGTCCTTCTTGTGGCAGAAAGTTCTTCTGGAGAAAATCCATCTCTGCATTGGTTAAATTGTCCAAAGGAACTTCTCTCATACGTTGCATTATAGAGGAGGGGCTAAAATGAGCTGTTATGAACACTAGATTCCTTGGCTTTCATAAGGACAGGAATGTATGTGCTCATAGTGCTTAGTGAAAAAACATAGGTCCAAAAACAACAATAATTTTCTGTGCTACCAATATAACGTAAACAGGCATTCTCTCGCATACTTGGGGATTTTCCCCACATGGTGGTTCTATGATTCTTAGCCATCGTAGAGGTGATGTGCAATCTTTTGGTCTGGTTTTCCTAGATCTTAGTGCCATTATAATGTAATGCTAAAGAAGCATTACAACTCCTGGACAGCACCAGCTTTTTTCTGACTGATAATCCATGCAGTTTTCTCAAATTGTGCATATAATGCTTTATTTCCCCGTGTTATAAATCAATGCATAATTTAAGTTATAGAAGAGATCATCATTCACCACCCTTTGACTTCAGGTGACACTAAGACTCTACTAATTCCATTAAAGTGATTACTGTGAAAATTACTCTGTTCTGAAAATACAATTTTAAAAGTGGGGTCTGTATTTTTATGAATTAAGGAGTGTGTGGTACAATATGAACATGGAAATATGTCAGGCTTTGCACACTTTGATTAGGACCTTTGCACATGGATATCTCGGGGTCCCCTGAAGACTTTGGGGCTGGGAATGGGACAGGAAATTGTCGTATGATTACAACCATGAAGTGCAATCTCTGGTAGACTGCAGAAAACAGACAACTACAGTGTGGGACTTGTGCTGGGTAACAGGAACAATACCATTTCTGCCAAAACAAAGCTGTTCTGGGGTATTCGGTATCTGTTAGTGACTACATCATAGCCTGCATCTACACGCACTGGATGAGCATTAAATGTTTTTAAATGGCACTTAAGAAGTTTGCCTTCACACTGGCTTTATTTGCTTATTCACTGGTAACAGAAGTTTGGTAATAAGGATCAAGCTTTTCATTTTTGCTAGGGGTCTGACCAGGGTCCATCCAATCAAGATCAGGCATTATCTGCCCAACAAGCTGCTGTAATTAACCTGACTGGAGTAGGGAATTTTATGCAACCTCAAGCCACAGGTATGTGCTTGCTGAGCTTCTTTTTGTAGCTAAGTGTTTTTGTTGGTAAATTCACACTGAAATGAAGTTTGGTCTTAAGGAAGTCTTATGTTAGATTGGAATGATTTACTGTTTATTATCAGGACATGAATTCTCTGAGAAATACTTGACTCCTAAAGCATGCACTTCTCTGCTTTGTTGGGCAGTTAAGTGCCATCAATTGATAGCATCACAAATAAAACAAGTTACACTTAAAATGAAGGGAACATAATGCCAGACTTCATTAAGGAATGTTTCTTTAACTGTGTGCTTAATATCCAGTGTGAGAAACCTTTGTATCTCCACAAGCACTTCATTATCTAATTATGTTCTAACTAACAGAGTATGTATATCATGTATACTTTATTCTGCACTGTTCTCAATTTGACTCTGAAACTAATTCTATTGATCCCCCTTTCCTGTTACATTGTATTCCTATGTCTTCCTCCCCTGACCAACTCAACCTGACCTCTTTGACCTGCCTGCTTTCCCCTTCTCCTTTCTCAGTGTTGTCTCAGCTTGGCTCTGCTGTGAACAGACCTGGGCAAAGCCTTCCTCAGCAGAGACTCCAGCTCTCTTCTGCCTTGCAACAGCAGCAACAACAAGCCTTGCAGCAGCAACAGATACAAGTAATCCAGCAACTTCACTCTGACTGTGTTTAAAAAAAATTAAATTAAAAATACAATTCTTGGCTCCAAAATCAAAGATTTGCCCTTTTGGGCTCTCTTTTTAACTAATGCAGTTAAGGTCTCACAAATTGAAGGGAAAAAAAAAACCAAAACAACACAACCAACATGTATTTGGCAAACCATCATGCAAGACCTGAAATCTGTGGTTCTCTCAGCTTGGAGCACTGAATTTATTTTTATTTGTTTAAGCCCTCCACCTTCCTGATTCGCAAACATTCAAGGGGTGCTTGTGGCACATACCTAAATACTATATATACCAGGTGCCAAGATTTCAAAATGGCATGGATGTAAGCACCTGGAAGTTCAAATGTAGCACTGCTGCAGTCAGTACGTGGCAGCAAGAGTTTTGCGAAGCATTCCTTTACCATTCAGATGCTTCATGAAAATATTTTAGCATTTTTTTAGCACACAGTCTCCTCTTCGTAATACATACAGAAAATTCATACGATGCATACACTGAGAAGACACCAAATTAAAAAAGGTACTGTGTAACCTAAACACTCAGTGAAGTTGCTGAGTTACTGCAGTTACTGCAATGAAGGGAAAAGGCAAAGAAACAAAGCTGTGCACATTCACATGTAAAATGTTAGCTTGTGCCCTCAGCAGGCTTCTGTGCCACTGGTGCTGCTTGACTGTACCTATTACTCCAGTACATGGTGTGTTCCTTTTGTTAACCCAGTGCTTCCTCATTTTTTCTCTCTCCCCACCCCTTCATTCTTCCTGATGTGAAAGCTTTATAGTCAACACTGACAAGCTTTTTCTCCCTTCTCCTCCATGGCAGCAGTTGCGATTCTTGCAGCATCAAATGGCTATGGCAGCGGCAGCAGCACAAGCAGCTCACCTGCATCATCAACAGCATTCAGGCAGCCACTCAAAAAGTAAACGGAAGAGAGGCACACCAGCCCCTCCAAAATCATGAGACTTGCCTCCCCCCCAAAAAAATTTGAAGGGTTTGGGTTTTTTTCAGATTATTAAGGAAAAGGCTTAAAATTAAATTAGTGTTTTATATTACTGGTGGGAAAAAGAACTTTTGACATTACACTAAAATAAATGAACTGATTTTGGAAGCCAACCTTACAGAACTTAGAAATTTCATCTAGAAAACTCTAGGATCTGGTTTCCTCAAGTCACTTAATTTTTTAACAGAATGTTTTATCTTGTATTTTTTACCACTCAACAATATTGTACATAGAATAAGGGTGAAAAACATTTTAGAAAAAATGAACTTTGTAAATGTAGTATTGATATTTGTTTATTTAGTATAAAAGGTTTGTGAACACTGTAACAAATACAATTTTTACAAATCCATTTTTGGAAAGAGCTCTCTTTTTGTTCACTTGGGTGTTATACTTTTTATTACTTTGTCTATCAGCTTCTTTACTTCTTTGTGTCTTGTAATTGCTCTGGTGATACAGTCCTGAAGCTTGGCTCCTGTAAGAGGACTTCCACCTAAACATTGAAGGGAACAATTTGATTTTCTATTTATACTTTGGTTACATGTATCTAACTGTGATTCCCAAATGCGAGCATTAACACAATAATTGTCATTACCAGCACCTTTCACCTGGGGGGCATACACCTTTCCCAGCCCTAGCTTCAAGCAAAGATAATGGAAACAAACAAGAGCTGTAACAGGAGACAAGCCCAGAATTTGTCCTCTGCTGTGATCTCATTTTGAACTTTAGTCATGCCACCATCTTAAAACTCCTTTCAAGAGCAGCTAATTTAATGACTATTCAAGCAGACACTCTGTTACCATAAAGCACCCACACCTCACAAAGCAAAGCAGGTACATAATCTTTTCTTGACCTAACATCATCATCTTCATAGGTTTCTTTGTAGTAAATTTACAAGTACCTGGTTTATGGACAGAACACAGTCTGCCTTCTTCATCAGTCACAATGGTTACTGTTCCAGTTGCTAAATCTTCTTCTTCAGCAGTTGGATCAACAATGAGTAACGTGCTTGTGAAAGAAATGCATGCAGATACATTGGTTTATATTGCTCCATTCATGTTATTGCAAAATACAATTTTTACTGTACTCTTAAAAAATACTTGCAGATGGATTTAGTACTCAAGCTTATCTGTAAAACGCACCAATTTAAAAAGAAAGAAAAAAAACCAAAAATGAGATTCCACATAATTATGTGTTTATGACTGTGGAAAACAGGCATAAAAGCCATTTCATAAATTTGTGACAGTGATGTATTGCAGGAAAATACCACTAAATTGCCATTTGCAGCATGCAGTATGAAATATATCAGTCATTATTTTGTAGTTACACCAAAGACTGACATAGGTTTTAGGTGGAGGCTGCGCTAATTTCTACCAAACACTTTAAAGCAAAACTCATTTCCAATGGTAAGTTCACCAAAGCAGTTCTCAATTTGTTTTCAGTGAACTCTAACATCAGACTGGGAACAGTTCAAAAACAGATATAGTGGGTTTCTTGAAGCAGCTTATTCTGGCTGTCATACATCATATGAGAAGTTCAATGCATGGCTGTTGATGTACAGGTCAGTGCCACAGGAGCAGCTCTGCACCAGTGCTCCTCAGCCATGGCCACGCTAACCAGCAACCTACCAATTCCATTTATTCAAGAAGGCCTTTTATGCAGAAGAAAAATGTCTCTGGAAGCCAGAGTATGTAAAGCATTTCATTGAAAGGCTGTATCAACAGCTCTAGAAAAATTAATAAACCAGAATTAAAAAAAAAAAAAAAAAAAAAGCAAACCACACAACACAGGCACACACTCCCTCAACTCTTAGTTTTAGGAACTTAAGTAACTTGTTTGTTTGATGCAATAGTTGGTTTCAGGGAAGGAAACAAAGCCCAACAGACACTCATGGAAAGCCTTTTTCCCCAGGCAGCTTTCTGGTCTATGTGTAAGTATGTGTGATTGTTTGTAATACCCTACTGACAACTATCTGCCTAGTATGTTACCCAAATGTTCAGTGTACAGCAAACTGCAGACCCAGCAGAAATGGTATTAAAGCAATTAAGCAGAGGCACTGTAAAGTACCAATAATGTCCTGTTCTGATGCATTTTGGTAATCACCTGGTCAACTTTTGAGATTATTGCTCTCCCCACCCCATTTGTTATGTGGATGAAAGGCCCTACTAATCATTTCTGTGAATACACATTTCAAAATCTGTTCAAAAATCCATCTTTTCTATCACTTATTTACACAGGCTTCTAAAACATTAATTGCACTGGTTTTCATCTTAAAGATACTTCAAAACCTAAACCAGTACCCATCCCTGTACTTCTGAGCTTGTCTTTAGGCTGGGAACTGTTTCTGCTGTAAGTCACAGGAAAAAGCTGCAGAGTACAGACTGCACTTTGCTGTGTGCACTCATTACATCACAGAACTAGAGGCCCCTTCAATGAGAGAGGCTGTGGATTTAAGATGGGTGGAGCAGCATTGCCTGAGGCTCCACGCTGGTCCCTGGCAGAAGTACAGAAACATCACTGGTGGCATTCTTTGTCTTTCATTTGTTTTACAGACACTGTTGTTTCCATAAAGTACAAAACCTTTTAGAACTTACTCATCGAATACAGCAAATGATGTGGCAACCGGATGCTTTCTGATAATCAAAGGATTCTTCTGTTTTAAATTAACTTCTGATAAACCAGTTTCTTCATTTATCGTAACCAATGGCAATTGCACTGAAGAGATGAAAAAATTACAATGGTCTAATATTAAACATTGGCTGGGTTTAGCAGGCCTAGAGATGTTGACAACTACTAAAATATTTAAGCTGTTCTTTTAACCCACTGAAAAACAATCAGGATAAAGTTTTACCTACGTTAATGGTACTCTCTACAAAAAAAATTCTTCAATTTGTGTAAAGTATTTAACTTAGAACTACCCTTTCAAGGAAGTATTTGATTTTTGTACTCAAGGTACAGAAGCTTTTCTCCTCACACAGAAATACTTTCTACTTCCAAAATGCCACACAATTAAAATACTTTAGACTCATATTTAACCAAAAGTACTTTTTCCCCAAGTCTACTGGACATAGGAAGAATTAGGACTATAGCCTCATATCATGAATTTTATATATCTGTAGAAACAGTGCAACCTGACCTTCATCTAACTCTTGCTGTGACAACCCATACATTGCTGGTGACAAGGAGGACAAGAGCAAAGTAGCTAGGGGAATTCCAAGGCTGGCCATTCACAGTTAGAAAGGGAGGCCTTGCCATAAAGCTTCCCTTTAAACTGCTGCCTTCATGCATCTATAAGCCACACACCTGCGAACACTCAGTCCACACATTTTTTCACAAACTATAATGCATTAAGCTAGGAAACACATAATGCATTAAGCTAGGAAAGGAATATTCTGTTGTGACAATGTACTTGTGTAAGCCAAGCCTCCAACAGCTCATCCTGCCTACATTATCCAAAATACATTATCCACGTAATACCCTGATATAGATGTTAAACTCGTTCATGGCCACTGCTGAAAGACTCAGGTATCTGACACCAAAGAACACATTAGTCTTTTAAGAAAGCAATAAGTGTACAAAAAGACCCTATTTTTCAGGTGTTACACACCTATGGCATCCCACCATTATTTCCACCTTGTAAATGCATTCATATGACAGGAAACAAACAATCCCATTAATCAGTTACCTACTTATCTGGATTCTAAACTAATGCATTTCTCCAAGCAACACTAATCAGAACGTCTCTTACTCTAAGGAAGACTTACCATTTTTTAATGCTGCCAACAAAGCAAAGACACTGGCATCCAGAAGGTTTCCATCATAGTCCAGACATATGATATCACAGTATAACACCCAAGCAAGCTATCAAAAAAGGTTTGCATGTGTGAGTTATTACATCAGCTAAGCAACTGATGTGCAATATATAAGAAAATTCTTGACACACTAAATACAGATACTTATTTCTATCATTTGATTTTTGCACTTAGGATGTAAACTAAGCTACGAAGACTTAAAAGCAAAAACAACACTAAAACCCCCTATTAATCTTAAATACCTTTTGTATTTGTACTCGTGTACAGCTACTGTGATCTTGTTACTATCTTCTTCATTCTGAGATACAACTTACCTTGCCATTGGCAATACACAGATCTTCTTTCACTATCATCTGGGAACTAAAATAAAATGAGAGTAAGCAAGGAAATAGAAAACTGTCTTGCAGTTGCTAGTATTTTCACAGCACTAAGATGGTTCTTACTTTTCAATCACATCTGCAATGAACTGGCTCGCTGCTTGAGCCTCTTCACCAGGTGGTCCAGAGCGAAACCTCTCTGCACAGAGGGATGGCAGCTCTACATTTGGAACTAGGTAGCAAGAATCATTAGTCATAAACCAAAGAAAGCAGGCAATGGGTAATCAAAAATAAAAAAATAAATAACAGATGCTCTAAATACCATTTTATATACTTCTAATGAAAGGCAAGACCGAGAATTTTTCAGTCAAGCCTTCTTAATTCTCCCCTCAAAAATGAAGTTGTGCATGAGTTTGTATCAAAGAACTTGTAGTACTCCCTGTACCCAGAAACAATATATTCCATGGAAAAGCATGTACTCCTAGCTACCACTCTCTGTTTATAATCTTTGTCTGGCTATCATGACCCATGCAAATTCTTCTTTAAGTGTTAAGCACTTTTCAGCAGATCAAGAAACAGCAGCATTTCCATGCCACTGCCTGACTTTACTGGTATGCTGTCTGCTTTTCTTCACCCATTAAAACCTGAGGCTTTAGACTTGAAGTAAAAACATGAATAAATATTCATAAAAAAACCTAAGCATAGTCAAGCTCACTGAAAACAAGATACTTGGGAGATGCCTTAGAAAAGGGGGATTTCATCTAAGCTCTCAGTTCCACAAAACTACTTTATTTCCAAAGAAACTCCAAACAGGAGTGAGGAGGTACCACTGGGACTTCCAGATCTCTGAGAAATAAACAGTTTTTATTTCACTGTTTTTAAGAGCTACATTTTTTGCCTACTGAGACTTTGAAATAGCAGTTAACATGCCTTTGCACAACCTTGCATGCCACTTTTATAGACTACCTTCTCCCTCTTAATATACACACTGCTGCAGGTTTCCTTCCATGCCCAGCCTAGAATCAGCAATAAAGAGGCAGCTGTATATGGGAAACTCATAAGCAGAGCAAAGGGAATTCTAGATGCCTAGATGTCAATTTTGAAATTAACTTGAAGGAATGCTATAAAATTTGATCCAAATTAATTCTTTTAAGAAATCTTCACAACACAATTTTCACAACCTTTTAGCTGAAGCAATACAAAACCTGAGTAAGATCCATACTAAAACATTTACCAATATATCCCTTATTAGCAGAATCCACTGCAGGTGCAGCAAGCTCCTGGAGAAACAGAAAGGAGAAAACGAAGACCAGAATTTTGTACAAAGTATTTTACAGCTGTTCTATGTACAAATGGTTGTTTTTTCCCAAGTTATCATTACAATGAGATTTATAAAAGCCATTTTTAATCAGTCCTTCTCTGTAAATTTCCTATGAAAGAACTCAGTAAAGGGATGAGCAGTCATTTGTCTTGTAGGTCACGGCAGGCCAGCAGGAGAGTTGAGGCTACAAGGCATTCAGTAGTCCAGCCAGCTCATCCCCAGTGCACTTACTGATCGATGTTCAGGAACTTTTCTATTAGAGAGCTTTTATCTAGGAATTACAGGGACTTTAGTTTTGTACACATCTTTCCCCATACACGATGGGCATCACAAAAATGGTGGGCCCTCAGACTATACAGGTAGGATTATACAATCACATTATATATTAACTTTCAGGCCTGGTGGTAACTCAGATGAAAGACTGTAATTGCTTCTGACTGGCACATTATTGTAACTCCACGGCCAATTAATTCTAAACCCAAATGCACAAAGTCAGCTAACAGATAAACAAAGATAAAAACTAACCATACCGCTTTTACTCCACAAATCACTGTGGTATTTCCTAACTTCACCAGGGCAGAACCATCTGCAGTTGTAATTGAACCTGAAGAGAAAAAGTACTGCTCAATAAAATCTATTTTCCCTTCAAAGGGCATTAAATAACATCCAACCTTCACAAAGTGTTTACTTTCCATCATTTTATACTAAACACAGGATAAGCAAAGTCTCAAATCCAGACTGGGACAGAATCTCTGTATTAAACAGTCAATCACACAGAATAGTTGAGGTTCTCCAACCTGCTGAGGCCCCTCTGGATCGCAGCACAAACTTCTGGCACATCAGCCACTCCCAGTTTGGTGTCATCTGCAAACTTGTGAGGGCACCTAAATTGTGCTGCACATACAGGAGCAGAACTGACTAATTACACTGTGCACATTAGCCCAGGAACAGCACTGAAAACAATGCTCAAGGATATTATTGTACCATGCATTCTCATTCATGCTTGTTGGAACTGTAAAGAAAAATCCTTCCTCTTCCTGCTTTCCAAATGGAAGAACCAAGAAAACCCATTAGCAAGTCATTAAGGTCACCACTATAACCTGGTATTAATAATACCTCCCCCATTATTATTATTCCACATAAGCACTTGCCTATGTTGACAGTGGTTGTCCGAAATTCACCTAACTCTCTTCCATCAGGCCTACAGTTCTCTTTCTAAAGAAAAATTAAAAACTTCAAATTAGGAAACATACTTTATCAAGTAACACAATAATATTTTTGCTACAGAAGTTCATAAAAAATAATATTCTCAAAAATTCTGTGGAAAACTCAGTCACACTCTAGCTGGCTTTTCATCAACTGATACACAGTTTCTGGTTAAAAAAGAAAACCCCTGATTTTTAAAACAAATTTAAATTTATTTAGACAATATAACAACTGATTGTCTCAAGGGTAGATACAAAAGGAGGCTAGATTCAGAATATCATCCAAGAATGAACACGCACTGGTAACTTAAAATGAGAGTTTCTACTTGTCTGCACTGTTTAGTGGAGCTCTTAAAATAAGTGAACTAAAGAAACAAAAGAAAAACCCTGCACCCAAAGAAAACCCAACATTCAAATACCATCAGTCAGAACCTGTAAAACACATAACCCTTCTGTTAGAAACTGAAACAATATTCCATCATTTTAGATCTGAATTGTTACCACAGTTTCAAGCTTTTTAAAAGCAAACACTTTTGGTTCAATTATGAGAACCAAAACTGCAATAATACTGGGCCCATTTCTAAGTCAATACAACTTCAGTAATAGATGAACTCATTTAAGGTAACAGAAGTCAGAGTTTTTCCTCCACAGTTACAGTCTACATGGTTAGGTTCAATAATTTCTATTATTAATTTTTGTAGCATCTAAAAGCCTGTTTTGACATAATTTTGTACTAGATAAAAACCTACATCACCATCGTGGTCAAATTTAACCTGAACTCCTTTCAAGACCAACAGAAGCATTTACCTATCAAGATGAACAGCATCAACACCACAGATGGAAAGAAAAACATGTTCTGAAGAGCACAAATGTTTTTCGCCTGCTCAGACATTTTTTGTTTTTTTTTTTCATTTTCCATTTCCATAGTTTCAGATTTCCATACAGACCAGTTAGAAGAGCAGAAGCAAGCAAGTAAAAATTCACTACGAATAATCTGTACAGGCATCTCATGTTTCACTCACCAAAAACCTCCTGTAATATTCCAATGGTTCCACAGTTCTAGAACAAATAGAAAGAGAAGTTCAAATGCAAGTTCCTGAGTAGGCAAGACACAGCAAAAGAAAAAAAAAAAAAAAGATCACAAACCCACAATAATAAATAATCTGGGAGTCAAGATACCTGACAAAGCTGCTTAGTAATACAGCTACAGAACAAAGAGGAAACTCTAAATTAATCTAAAAAAAAAAACCCATGTTTTCCTAAATTCAGTTCCAAAATGCTTCTTCCATACAAGGAACCTGTCTGTGTATACACTTAACAAAAACTGCTAGCTTTCACTTCAATAATCCTATCAGCTTTAAATCAAAAGAAGTGTTTAGTGACGAAGGGTGTAGAATGCCTTTCAAGGAATGCAAAAAGGAAAATTTTGCTAGAATGTGTGAAATATCTGTTAGTTCAAGGACTGCATTCAGATGCAGGAAATTGTATAAAAATTTTAAATTATTCTATTTTTCTTAGAATCTTTGAGAAAATACAAAATTACAAAATGTGCTTCATGCAGGGCTTCGGATGAGAAATAAATAATGCTTATTATTAATTGTACACTAGTAACAGTATTTGTATATTAGTATTTTAATTAGGGATCAATCATTAAAATTAAAAAGAAAAAAAAAACACTTTTATAAAAATGTTGCAAATATTTAAACAAAGCATTCACAGATTTGTTAAAACAGTACTTCTGGGGCAGGGGTGGAAAAAAGATAAATGGAATAGGCAAGTTTTCCAAATGCAAACTAACATACAGAGGCATCTGTAACATCTAATGGCCAGCATGAACTGTTGGCTCCACATGTGTTGGTCCTGTACTACTGGATTATAAACCCAATACAAGGTCTGTTGTCTTCCAGTTCATGAAACAGCACTTGCTAAAGCTTGTTTGACGCTTTTAAGCCATAGACACATTAGCATCAAGGATGCTGGGACAGACTGCCCAGAGAGGCTGTGGATGCCCCATGCCTGGAAGTGTTAAAGGCCAGGCTGGACGGGGCTCTGAGCAACCCGGTCCAGCGGAAGGTGTCCCTGCCCACGGCAAAGGGACTGGAACTGGGTCATCTGAGACGATCCCCTCTGACCCAACTATTTTGCTATTCTGAAACGAGTAGTTATAAATGGCAAGTCATTGAATTCCCGACAGTTTTAACTTCCTTATAATGCTACAAGCTGTGTAAGGGGAGGTTTAGGTTGGAGAGTAGGAAAAGATTTATCACCTAGAGGGTGATCGGGCACTTGGAACTGGAACTTCGCCAGGGCAGAGGTCACAGCACCAAAACTGCCGGAGTCCAAGCAGTGCTTGGATAACGCTCTCAGGCACATGGTGTCAGTCCCGGAGGTGTCCTGCACAGGGCCAGGAGCTGGGCTCGCTGATCGCTAAGGATCCAACCCGCAGTACTCTGCTACTCTGCTACCAGGTAGCTCCGGGCCTCATTGAGTTCCGCTTTTGGCGGGGCCTTTTCCCGGCTGGCCAAACCCCACTCGCTCTGCCTTTCCCTCACACGTCGGGGCTCCACAGCCTCCGCAGCCCCAACTCCATCCCGACGAGACGCGCCGAGCCCGCTCTCCGCGCGCGCCGCCGCGGCGGTAACCGGACAAAGCCCGCAAGGGTCCCCGTGCGGGCAGGGGCGGTGGGGCCGCGGCCGGGGCGGTGGGGCCGGACCGGTGGGAGCGCGGGCGGGAGCCGGTGGACGGCACCGGCGGAACCGCGGCCGCCGGGCCCAGCACTTACTTGAACGCCGCCGCCATGGCGGTGCCGTCTCCTCTCCGGTTGTGGCGCCCCCTGGCGGCCCGCCCCCCCGGCGGCCTCCGCGGGCGGACCGGCGGCGGTGGGGGCGGCAGTCGCGGCAGTCGCGGCGGCGGCGCTGCCGGGCTCTGACCGCCGGGGGGCGCCGGCGGCACCCGGCGGCACCCGGCTGGCGGCGCGGCCGCTTCCGCGTCGCTGTCGCGGCGCGCCGGGGCCCCGCGGCTGCCGCGGGCGATGGCGCTGCCGCCGCTGCCGTCCCTGCCCCTGTCCCTGCCCGCAGCCGCGCTGGCGCTGGCGGCCCTCGCCGCCTTCCTCCTCGTCCTGGTGAGAGCCGCGCACGGCGGGCCCGGGGGGCTCTGAGGCGGGGGCGGTGCGGGAGGCCGCTCTGTGCCCGCCCCCCGGTGCGGGGCAGGGGCGCTGCCCGGGGTCCCGGCCCTGCCCGGGGGTCCCGCGGTCCCTCCGCGCCCCGCAGGCGGCAGGGCCGGCCCGAGGTGGGCGGCAGAAGCCGGCAGGGCTGCGCTTGTGCGGGGGGTTGTGTGGGGAACGTGTTTCGGCAAGGCGTGGGGTGCCGTGCCTGGCAAAGGGGACCAAGACGGAGCATTTCAGCCTTACAGGACGCCTTGGGAAATGTCCTGGTAACGCCTTCGCGTTAACCACTTGGGAAGTCGCTGCTTTTCTGCGTATCCAAAATGTCCCGCTATATTAAATTCGACCCCCTGGAAAGCAAAATTCTGCTGCCTGTCCGCAGTGCCACGTATGCATCCTGCCCAGGCAGGTGGCGGAGGCCCCGTCCCTGGAGGTGTTCAAGGAAAAGACTGGACGTGGCACTCAGAGCTGCGGTCTGATTGATACGGTGGTGTTTGTTGGGGCATCGGTGATCTTAGAGGTCTTTTTCAAGCTAAGTGATTCTGTGTGTGGCGTCACCAACTAAAAGTGCTCCAGAAACCAACTTCTACCGCTTTTCTTCAGCCATGCATAAAGCAGTCAGAGCCTCAGTTTTGCAAGCATATGCGGCTGGGCTGGTCATGAGTCTTGCCATTGATTTCAGTGGCTTAATGGGGGATCAGAGGTGGCACCTGCTTGTGTGCCCAGGGTTACTTGGGGAAGGGGCTTGGACCACGACTTTGGAGGCAGCTGCATGCTTTGCAGTTAAAAACAGCAGCAAGCCAATGACAATGGTCAGAGTGGGAGCAACCAAATGGCACGAGAGGGTTTTGGTCCTGTGTGAAATTCCACAACAGTGACACACCTCATTACTGGAATATACTTGGTTGTCCCTGGTAGCAAGTTTAACAGCTAGGTAAACTTCTAATAGTGTGACAATGACAATGTGTTTTCAATTCTTTTTCATCACAGATTTGTGTAATCGCTCATGTAACTGCCAAAACAATGCCACACGAAGATGCTCAATGCAGGAGGGGATCTGCACCAAATATACATGATCCTCCTACAAGAGAACTCTCTGTCGTTGTGCCTTCATACAATGAGGAAAACCGGTGTAAGATTTTTCTTGTTTTGAGGAAAAGAAGGAGATCTATCAGTTGTTACTGTAATAATGCAGAGGTCAGTTGGATTAGCATTAGATTCTGGTGGGCCAGATTATGTATCAGATTTTGGACACAGTTTCCAGAAAACAGTCCAAGTACATTGAATTTCAAAATTAAGGCATTGTGTAACTTTATTTCTACTGCTAAAAATAGCATGGGGCACTTGTAAGAATTGTCTTAATTTTAATGAACCCCAGAAGAATGGCTGTTCATTGCCCTTGCAAATGTTGCAAAGCAAGAAGCAGTAAAATACTTCTAAAATTGATTTGAGGGCTTCCTACTCTTTAAACACCAACAGCAGATTCGGACAAGCAGAAAAAGGGATGATCTCACAGGTTTGTGTTTGACTTGGCCGTAGATAGGAGTACCTGATGCTGAGTGAAGGCTTTTAGATGTGATAGAAATAATCAAGCTCTAAAGGTGATGTGGCAGTACACAAGCTGACAGCTTGCCTTAGTAGATAAAGTCAGTGCTGGTTTACAAGGTCAGTCATAAAGAATGATTTTTTTTTTTCTTTAATGTTGTGTAGAGAATTACATTCTTCAAAGTGAAAAGTTGATTCCTGAGAAGAAAATGGTTTTATCCTTTTTGTTTTATCCTTTTTGTTGTGATTTTCTTCAGTGTTCTTTCTGCATTCAGAAAGGGCAGCACTTAGAGTTGCAGCTGCTGAGCTTGTTTACTGAACGAAGTGTTGTATGAAATAGTTGATTTGCTCAGCCTTGCTTTGTGGCTGTTTTTAGTTTGTTTGTGCAGGTGCTTTTGATGTTATAATCTACTAACCTGACCTCCTCCACCTTTTCTCTAGTACCACTTATGATGGATGAAGCTTTGGATTATCTAGAAAAAAGACAGGTATTTTCTTTTTGCATTCAAAATTCATTATTTTTCTGCGTATTATGTATAACAAGTTGGTGATTTAGTCACTTTGTTATGTTAGTGTACATTAAAACAGTAGTATTTAGCCACTTAGAAATAATGCTTCTGTCTCTTATCAGTTATTTTTAGATTGAGTGCCAGAAAAGATTTTTAAATTAAGTAAAAATTTAATATCCTACTATAGGATGAAAAAAATCTTCATATGCATGAAATCTGTCCAAGCCAGAGCTAAGGATTAACCATGCATTTCACTTTCTAAACTAAGTCCTGGTTTGTTCCAACAAGTTTCATAAGCATCTGTTCTTCATTAGGATTTGTTCTCTGGGTAAGAAGCTCATTGTGAAAGTTTGTGGATTTTGTTTTGTTTGGATTTTCTTAAAAGTGATGTTTTTCTTAGCTTCCATCTTCTACAATTAAATTGATTTTTCAGTTCTGGTAGCATGACAAGCCAATGTAATGATACCTGCATCAAATATGGCAAAATTCTTTAATTATGCTGTCTTAACAAATTTACTGCATCATATTAGTGTCTGTTGGCAACTATGAATGACTGCTAGGGAGAAAAGAATAATGATGTTTGAAAGACCTACTGCCTATTTAAGAAATTGGATGAAATACATTATTTCTGTTTTTATTTTCAAGAAACAAGATCCTTCATTCACTTATGAAGTGGTAGTGGTTAATGATGGTAGTAAAGATCAAACAGCAAAGGTAAGAAGAAGAAATGTTTTCCCAAGCAATCAGAGGCATGGAATTTTGTTTGGTTTTTTATATATTTGTGGAATAAAATAGTGTTTTGCATTTATATTTTGGTACTTGAAGCAGTTGACAGCTGAAGTTCACATTTCTGAATGCTTTCTCTCATTGTCCTATATGCATCGTGGATGGCACATATGCACATGAATACATACAAAATTCTTTTTCAGATTCTAGATTTCTTCATTGGCAACTGTGACAACCATTCTCCTGCAGCTTAGATTCTAAGAACTCTAATCCTAACTTCAATAAATTTCACATTGAGTACTCCACATGTGCATAGTGATGATGTGAATATGAATTTGAGGAAGCAAAAAAGTCTTCTAAAACACGTCATTCATATTTGATTGACAGAATAGCTGACACAGTTCTTTCCCACACCCTTTGTGGGTTGTTCATTTAAAAATCCACATGCCAGTAGTAGTATTTTGAAAATAGTTCTTCTGCTTCCACTTTGATGTATGTCACTGGCAAAGAAGGATAGCCAGCTTGTGGGGATTTTTTCCTACTGCTTGGAAGATGTTTGAGGTAGACACTAAAATGCATATCACTTTAAGGATTTCTGCTGTATGTTTTTGACTGCTGAATGTACCATCTCTTTCAACAGGTGGCTGTCATAGAAAATTGTATTTATTTTATTAACTATAGGTGTTAATAGAAAAGGTCTGTAGTAGTATGATATAAATTAAATTAGGATTGAGTTTTTTGGAGGTGGGAGGAAGGGGGTTGACATTGCTTAGGGAAGTCTCCTGTTCTTATTGAACATTATGTAGTTTCTTCAGTCTTTGTGTTTTGACTGTGAACTGTTTTTTATTTTCCCAAACAGACTCCAGCAAACACTGGCAATGTATTTGTGCTGACTGAAGTGGTTATAGCTCTGTGCTATTAATTTATTTTCTTTTGAGGGGTGAGCAAATGTACACTTCTCCCTTGGTTCGTGGATTTGTTTTATGCTGGTTTTTTTGTGTATCTGTCAGGTTGCAAAGGAGTACTGCAAAAAATATGGAAGTGACAAAGTGCGAGTGATATCTTTGGAAAAAAATCGAGGGAAAGGGGGAGCAGTCAGGACGGTAATTAATACTTTCATCTCCTTTTCTATTTGAGCTACCTGTGCCGAAATGTGCAGAAGATAGATCTGTGCTGATTGACATTTTGAATTTAATGCATTCACAAAATATGACAAAACTGAGTGCAGATTCTATAAATTAAAGCAAAAGTTTTTTTCAAAATAAGTTTATTTTAAATCTTGGTAGCAGTGCTGTCTTTCCAGAAAGATCGGTATGAAAGACATTTTTTTTAATCTGAGAATTCATAGTGGAAAAAATTACTTGAATTCCATATTCATGTTAGTTCTACTTAGAAATAGGCTTGCATTTATGAAAGCCAACAAAAAAAAAAAAAAAAAAAAAAGCCAAAAAAACCCTCAAAACTGTTACAAATTAAAGTTAAGCTTTTGTAGACAAAATAGATCCAGACTGACAAACTTTGCTCTCCAGGTCATGGTTGTGGTTTTTAACATGGCTGAGAAACAAGAACTCATCCAGCAAAGTTTATGTTTACTGAAGCCCACTGCTATCACCCACACTCCATAGTCAAAACAGCACAATTCATGCTTTCACATAGATATTATCATAAAATGAGCATGTTCTAAAAATGAAATAGCTGTTAAACATTTAGGAGGAACATCGTATTCCTATGATGAATGACACCCTGCTTTTCTGAAAAAGGGTGATGTAATCTATGGATTGTCAGTGATATGTCTTTATCTGTATTTTCAGCTCTATCTTTAATCTGTCAATTTATTTTTTATGAAAAATAAAAATACTATATATATGTGTATATATAT